TTAGACTTAAAGTTATTTCTTTAACAATTATCACACTATTTTATCTATTTACTAACCTTTGTTTTTATGTGTAACCAAAATATATTCTATAAGGTCTTTGGAGTGAGTAATTTGGTATGAAACTTCTTCATTTGATGACATTGGCAAACATACTTGATTCACGAAAACTCAAATATACATTTGGTAAGAAACTTACCTATAGTTCTTTTCTGTTGATTTATGGTTTCAATACCCACATATTTAGGCAGTTACTTGCAAGGACGAAAGAACCTTCTTTTCAAACTGTGCTTAGAAAATTTCAGTATCTAATATATGAGGGTGGGGTTCTATAATTTTTCTGGGCATTATACTTTTCGAAGTTTTTATTAATCATCACAAATGCACCTCTCCAATACTATTAAAGTCAAACATTATAGTTTCTTTCTATGGACAATTATTCTTAACGTAGACCAAATAGAATGATGACATCTGTATCCTATGACCAATAAATGCTTGATACAACACTTTGTATATATTTTTTAGAGCAAATATTTAATTAATATATAGAATACAAACTTGCTTTGTTATAAGCTTATACAATCTTTTATATAGTAAAAAATGTAAATTACGTTAAAGATAACCAAATACATGTAAAAGATACACTTATAACTCTTATATTTCCTATTACCTAACTATTAGTTTTCTTTACAGTTAACTTACGTTAATTTGATATGAATTAGTGAACAATAAAAAAATTTATACAAAAACTTATATATTATCTTTAATTTAAAATTTTAAAGTCATAAATTTATGACTCTCTGTTTAAGTCATGTTTATTTTTATCCAACAACAAACATTCTATTCATATTTAAATTTTTAACTTAAAACTATATTAAATTTTAATATAAACCTGCATTAAATTTTTTTAGTCTACAATTCCCTTCAAACATTCCACATGTTTCATTCACTATATTTATGTTTTCAATGTAGGAAGGGACAACACACACATAGATCTCAATACTGGTAAGATATTGTCTACTTTGAATCAAGTCCTCATGGATTTACTTTTGATATCACTCCAAAAGGTCTCTTATCAATTGAGGTATCTTATGTGTATATGTGTATGTGAAACTTTGTTTGTAGCTAACATTGAAAAAAACAATTTCTTCTTTTTATATTGAAAAAGTCATATTCACATCTAAATTTAACAAACTCATGTACATCATGAATAGAAGTCTCCAAATTTAAATACTACATGTTTGGGGACGAAAACAAATAGATAAACAAACACTCACATGCCTTCTTAAATTTATCTCTAAATATTGTTAAAATAAATCTTCTTGTATTTATGTATTTTGGTTAGAATTGATATTTTATAGGATTCAAATAAAATGTCATTTGAGAAGAAATATTCCAACAGCAAACAAAAAGGGAAACATATCAACTTATTCATATAATTGCTATAGTACCATATGAACATAATTGAATAGATTTATATATTTACAGCTTTTCATATCAATTTACCCATAATTCTTGGTTGAAAGAATCCTTTCCCACGGAACAAATTGCGGTTGGTTTCGAACAAATTGCGTATTTGAGTGATTCAACTTTTGACCTAGTCAACGATGAACCCACTGTTTCTGTCAGTCGTATTGCGTACTTTGAGTGATTCAAATCAATCGTTATGTACGTAATTGATTTTATGGATATGTTTATCTTTTTAAAGCAACCTTTTTAACAGTTATAATAATAAAAAAAAAATTAATGTATAGTTAAAAGAATAATTTCATAACATATATTATAATAAGATAAATAAAAGTTATAAGTTGCTTTATGGGTGCCAAAGTTTTATATTTAAACAAACCATTTGTTGTCGTTTATTAAAATATAAAATTAATATATGAATTAGTCGTACACTTCATCGCATTAACAAGTGCTCAAATTACGTCACATGGGTATCTGAATATATCAAATGCTTCAACAACCAAAGAAATTCGTATTCTAAAAACAACTGAAAGTAATAAAATGCAAACTTAGTGTCAATTGATCAAACGCATATATGAATATAATTACATCTCTTGATCACCAAGCTCTTAGTAGCAATTAATTAAGCTTATTTCATTAAAAACTAAACCTAGTCATAACATATAACAATTATGTATATTAAATTTGGATAGAGTTAAAGGCACAAAAAACTAATTTGCAGGAAAATTGACAGATAAATGATTTGAGATTATTTCTTCATTAGTTTATTTTGATGTTTTTTTTTTAATTTACTTTGAAGTTAATATTTTATCATCATAAAATAAAAAGAAAGCTCTCGAAGGTTTGAAATCATGGTCATCAGTTTAAATAGAAACATCGTACTGTGACTCATGGCCAACAATATATATTGGCCTTCTGAATTTTTTCAATAGCATGTACAAAACAAGTTTTATTAGATAATTTAAGTTCATTTCGCAATGGCTTTGCCACTGAAGCAGCCTCATTTTGTGTTGGTTCCACTTCTGGCTCAAGGGCACATGATCCCCATGGTTGACATAGCAAGGATTTTGGCAGAGAGAGGTGTTATCATCACATTGATAAGTACCCCTAACAATGCCTCAAGAATGGGGCAAACCATTGTTAGAGCAGAAAAATCTGGCCTTCCAATTCAGCTCCTACAAGTTCCATTTCCATGCCAAAAAGTAGGACTTCCATTAGGCTGCGAAAACCTTGATGCTTTACCATCAAAAAACCTTCTCAGAAACTTCTATATCGGCCTTGACATGATGCAAGAACCTGTGGAGCAGTACCTTCAAAACCACCCTTCTCCTCCAAGTTGCATTATATCAGATAAATGCCTCTCTTGGACTTCTGTAACAGCCAAGAAGTTCAACATTCCAAGGCTTGTCTTTCATGGGATGTCGTGTTTTTCATTACTTAGCTCCTATAACATCAAGCTCTACAATTCTCATCTTTCTTGCTCTTCTGATTCAGAACCTTTTCTCATTCCGGGACTGCCCCAGAGGGTTGAGATAACCAAAGCTCAGCTCCCTGGAGCCTTTTTTTCTCTGCCTGATTTGGATGATTTTAGACACAAAATGTTGGAGGCCGAAATGTCTGCTTCTGGGATTGTGGTAAACAGCTTTGAAGAATTGGAACATGGTTGTGTAAAGGAGTATGAGAAGGCCTTGAACAAGAGAGTTTGGTGCATTGGTCCTGTGTCTTTATCCAACAAGGATAGTTTGGACAAGTTTGAGAGAGGAAACAAACCTTCAATTGAAGAGAAGCAATGCTTAGAATGGCTGAACTCAAAGGAGCCAAGATCAGTTGTTTATGCATGCCTTGGCAGCTTGTGTAGGCTTGTTACGTCTCAATTGATAGAAATTGCTTTGGGTTTAGAAGCATCAAATCAACCATTTATATGGGTGGTAAAAACTGCGGGAGAAAATATTACAGAGGTAAATAATTGGTTAGAGAATGAAAATTTTGATGAAAGGGTAAGAGGAAGAGGACTTGTCATAAAGGGATGGGCTCCACAGACATTGATATTGTCTCACCCTTCGGTTGGTGCATTCTTGACCCACTGTGGCTGGAATTCAACCATAGAAGGCGTGTCATCTGGGTTGCCCATGATAACATGGCCTTTATTTGCTGAGCAATTCTTGAATGAAAAATTTATTGTGCAAGTTTTGAAAATTGGAGTTAGAATTGGTGTGGAGGTTCCGGTGAGATGGGGTGATGAAGAGAAAGTTGGTGCAATGGTGAAGAAAACTAGAATCACTGAGGCTATAGAGATGTGCATGGCGGGTGGAGAAGAGGGGGAAAACAGGAGGAATAGAGCAATAGAGCTTGGAAAGATGGCAAGAAATGCCATGGTGGAGGAAGGTTCTTCTCACTTCAACGTTTCATGCTTAATTGAAGACATTGTCAACATTAATTAGTGTTAATTAATTAATATGTGAAACATCTGGGTCAAGGTCTTCGTTGTCTACCGGTAACTAACATGGGATATATGTTTGTTTATCCTTCTGTCATTTTCTCTTCATGACTTATAATAAAATAAATTTAATTAAAATTTTAGAATTCGTTATTATTAACGGCCAGTTATTTTGTTTCATTTTCTTATTTAATTATCTTCACATAAATGCAAGATTTTATAATTAATATAAAATAATATTATAGTTATGAAGTTCTTCATTATATTTAAAATAAGGGGTTTAAAAAAAAACAAAAAATATATATATATATATATATAAGGGTTAGACCTGATGGATGGAAATGACTTTGTGTCGAGTTGAATCGATGGAATGGTTGGGGTACGAAAAAATAATTTATAACTGTTTAATTAGGATAACATTTGAGCAGAGTTATAATATAATTAATATGTAACTATTATTAAAGAGTGACTAAGGTTGATATTAATAATCATTAAAAGATAAATTAACTCGTCATATTTTATAGATTCTATAAATAAAACTTTAATTTCGAGATAACACATTTCTTATAATTAAATTATTTTACAAATCCAGAAAAAATTCGGTGGGAGTATTTCTGAACGTCAACCCACACAAAACGACCCAGAACACGGAAGAAGCTAATGCTCGTCCAGACAGGAGTTTCGCGCGATTCATCCTGATCCCTGTCGTCCCTATCCCACCTGTCGTCTCTATCCCGTAGAAACAAAATATATATATATATATATATATATATATATATATATATATAAACAGAATATTTTACACGGGTTGAGTACTTTTCTAATAGTTATTTCCCTTTCCAACTTGGTTTAATTTGAACTTTTTGAAGTGACGTACGTCAAATTTACTCATCAATTATGAACAGCTGGATCACCAAAAGAACAAAAAAAATGAAACTTTGGTTTGTTCCCAAATCCTAATGATGTCTTAGTGGAGCTTTATTGTTTGGCATTAGATATACGAAGGATTAACATAACTATGACGATAATTAAGAAGCCAATCATTTCCATCAATGTAGGAAATGTCCATGTAAGAGTTTGCTTCGTAATCCCTGAGTTGCTTGGCATAAGAGACTCTGGATGCATAATTTGCTCCAGCTCCATGGCAACTGTACTCCCCAAAGAAGACGCTCCTGTGTGAGTGAAAATGAGACAGTGAATTAATCATGGTTGAAAGCGAAGAGATAAAAGGTATAATTAAGAAGAAGACATGCACAGATACCGGTCTCTAGAGGGATCTCTCCAATCATTCCATCCTTCAGGTGCTACGACATCAGACATGTATGTTGTCGAGAAGATGACAGTGGCATAGGGTCCCCAAGCTCTTCCAAGCCACACTCTTCCACTCCCAACGATGCTACAATTCACAAAGGAAAACCCACTTTCTTCATCCATCGATTGCCTCCCTTGAGCAGTGATCGACCCACTAATCTCATCCTTCTCTGCTTTTGCTACACAGTTTATGCTACAATCCTGCACGTCTCACTCTCACAACTAAATTCCTCTTTCAATTTTCACTTAATACATCTTTATAATATCATTACCACATTATATTATTATTTAGTAATAATGTAAAACATATGATGCTATTATAAAGTAATTGTTACGTAATGTTTTTAAATGTATATCATGTGAAAACAAAATAGTAAACCAAAACGATAAAAAAGCACTGAAAAAATGAAACTAAAATAGTTATTTCTATAAAGAATAAAAATTCATTTGATAGTATGACACCCTTTTCTCACAAAATTATATAAATATATCCCGAAGAAGGCAAACATGCTACAATAACATTACCTAACGGATTCTTGTGGTTAGATTTTGAATAGGAGAGAATCCAAAACCTTAAGCAATGCATGTATTGGGTAATGAATTGCGATAGACAAGACATATATATATATATATATATATATATATATATACACTTTAAAGGGAAGAAAGTTCTCTTTTCTCACCTCATAAAGTGATCTACCATTTCCAAATATGAAATCAATGGATCCTTGGATTAAGCATTCTTTGAAATAATGTCTTCCACCATCATCATTCAGTGTATCCTGTGCACCATAAAATCCACATCCATAGAAGGCTGCTTGATCACCGGTGACTCTCAGTGCCACTGCTTGTGCCCCCACCGCTCCTGGTGACGGTGGAGGAGCCGTGTTCTTTTCAGAGAATCAAATTGTAAAAATCTCAGAAATCACATGGCCATGATAATATCCCGGAAACAATAATTATTTAACATTCAAAATGCTGTTTTACACTTACTGAGATGATACTATAGTTAACAGTTTTACCATTGTTACTATCCATATCCATGCAGAAACCCAACAGATATTGACCAAAGAAAGTAACATGAAATTTCATGCATGCTTAATTACCTTAAAGCTGATGTTGTAAGCAGTGAACTTAGAAGCAAAGATGGCAAAGGAGTAGCTGTAGGAAGTACCGCCAGTGGAATTGGCGGTGTCGTTCCATTCTATGATTGTATTCAGATATCCTTGACCTTGAATTATTAAGTTTGTTTTGTTGGCTTGCACAGCTACCTTCTCCCTGTCATTTGTAACAACTTATCAAATATTTGAGGAATAAGGTTATCAGTCCACTTTTTCACTAATATTTCAGAATAATAAGATTGGTCTGATAGATTTAAAAAGAAATGTATAAAAGATAAAAGATTATGAGTTCAACTTCTACCCTAACAAAATATTAACATTTATCAATAAAAATAATAAAAAAAAACTTATCTCATATTTGAAGTGAGATAGAGTTACTAATTGAAGTTTATCAGTTCATGAATAAATTATACGATTTAAAGTAAGTAGTTATAAGTAATCGAATATATATATATATATATATATAGATATATATATATATATATATATATATGATATTATGACATTTAATGCGTAAACAAAAATATAATCAAGTTATATACATATTTTTAAAAAAATTGTATATATATATATATATATTTTTTTTTAATTTAGTTATCAAAATTTTAAATAAATATGATATATATATATATATATATATATATATATATATATATATATATAAATATATATATATATATTAAAGTAGAAATAAATTATATAATGTAAAACAATTTTATATATGCTGAGTTTTCAACTTCACTTCTAGATATATTGCATCTAAATGCTTTCGGGTTTTGGTTTTTCAAGGATTTTTGTTATTATGCTAAATATTTTTCTAAAAGAGGATTGAAGCATAAAAACAAAAATGCTATAATTATATATAGCCAGACACGTCTAGTCATGTTCTTCAGCTTTTAATGAAAACACTAACGATAATCCATTATTCTTTCATTTTTATGTTCACTACATTATCCATAAGTAATCTTACACCACTTTTACTCTAGATTTATTCTTAGGCAAGATTTTTATAAATAATCCTTACTGTAATAATTTTTTATTTTGATACTAAAGAAAATGAATTATTGTAATTAAATTTTTTGTTCCTTGAGAACCCTTATATACTAACTCAACGGATATTAATGGCTGATTCTTGTAAGAGTGGAACTTATAAAGGACAACATGCATAAAAGTTGATGGAGTTGCTGTTAGTGATACCAGAAAGAGTTTTCTCCACCTAATAATTTAACTTTTGGGGGTAAGTTCATGACATGGAATACACAGCTTTACGACCAAGTCATCTAAAATTTGATCCTTCACTACCTCCATTTTTATCAAAATTAATTTTTTAACATAAAACAACCATTGAATTATTTACCCATCAATCTGAGAAGACTCTTGCATGTATGAGAGTTTCTCAGACGTAATTTAGAATCATTTTTTTTTTTGGATTCATGAACTAGGTGTTTGGTTTAACAGATAAAAGAAACAGTAAAGTGAAGGTGATGAGGCAGAAAGGATGAAGAAAAAGTGAGAGAGAGAACGACCTGTATGTACCAGAATCGATTATGATAAGGGTGGTATCAGAGCTAGATTCAGGAACAGCATCAACAGCTTTTTGAACGCTACTGAAGTTAGCACAGCCCTTTAAATCAACCGTGAAAACAAGACTCACGTTATAGTCTTGAATAAGCCTGGAATCCCACTTGGCCCCTTCACATTTTTCCTTATGATGATGATGATGGTGGTGATGGTGTCTCCTCCTAGCTATACTTGTTATCAGAGATACCAAGTCTTGAGCGCCACTAAATATACCAAGCTGGAAACTGAAACTATCGTGAGGACCAATGGCTGTGTAATCGCTGGGGGAAGGTGAAGTGCAATAGAAAATAAAGGAGACAGAAAAGAGAAAAATGACAAAGGCAGAAAGCCAGAAGAGGTTTCTGTTGAATCCCATCATTAGCTTTATGAAATGGTTAGGTTATGTTTCTTATTGAGCTAAAAAAGGTTTTGGGGTTGAGGGAGAGTGAAGAATGCTTCTATTATGTGCTGGTGATGCTTGATTGGAGTGGGAGGTAAGAAATGTTCGTATGGAGTTGTGTCATGTCTAGTTAGGCTTTCAGAGGATACTAGAGCCTGCTTTTTAAAGCATTATGGATCTATGTAGAAAATTGATGGAAAAACAAAGATGCGCAGTATTAGAGATTGGAAGATGGACACGCCAAGTAATTGCACAAAGATTGAAAATGAACAAAAAAAATGAAGTCAAGGATAAAATAAATACATGTCCATTCATTACTGGGGTGGTATGAATGAGACTGAAGACCCTAACAAGTTTAATTGAGTAGAATAATGAAAATGAAGAGATAAGTTTAACTTACAATTTGTGGGATGAGTAAAATGATTTAGTTATCTAACTTATTTGGTTAAAGGGTTTGAATAACATAAGGAAGAAATTAATTATGTTTAATTCTTACCAACAATGTTTTTGTTCTAGATAATTTCTAAATTATATGTTATAATTTGTGAAGTTGGACTAGTTTCGGACTTTGAGAAAAATAATAAATGTGAAATAAAATCTAAAGTAGTGATTATACGGTTTTTCTTAAAATAGAAACTTTAGGATATTTTATAATTTCTGAGACAATTGCTGTTTGGAATTCGATAAAGTAAAAGAAAATATGAAAATATCAGAGCGAAAATCATAAGCTAGGTGAAAGGAATTAATCTAATTATATATATATATATATATATATATATATATATATATATATTCAGATTGTGATGTGATTATATGATATTTAGGTTATTTTTTTTATTCTAAAATGGGAAGAGATTAATTAGTTCATGAATTTGATCCTCTTATTTTTAATAAGACGTGGGTTAGTTTCTCGTCCTTCAAATGCTAATATTATTTATTTTATGTGGATTTTTTGTTTTAAAAAGAAATCTGATGACAAAGCTTGTTTTGCTTGTGATGTAGGTCTTAACAGGTTGGTGTGGATTGTGATGAATTTTTTAGCACAATAGTCAAACTTGCAACTATGCAGACTGTTCTGAGCATTGCACTATCAAAATCTTGGTCTATCCATAACTTGGATGTTAAAAATGTCTTCCTGCATGATAAACTCCATGAAATTGTATACATGTATCAATCGATGGGTTTCTAAGATCTCATTCATCCCAATTATGTGTGCTTATTGAAGAAATCTCTCTATGGACTCAAACAAGCCCTTCGTGTTTGGTATCAACGGTTTGTTGATTTTGTCTCAACTATTGGTTTTACACCTAGAAAATATGATCTTTCACTATTCATTTAACATAAAGGAGCTCACACGACATATATTCTACTTTACGTTGATGACATCATTCTCTCAACATCCTCTATTGTTCTTCATAATTCCATTATGTTACTACTTGCTTCTGAATTTGCTATGAAAGACTTGGGTCCTTTAAGCTATTTCCTAAGTATTGCTCTTACACGACATGAAGGTGGGTTGTTTCTTCCCAACGTAAATATACACAAGACATTATTGAGTGAGTCAGCATGAGCTCTTGTAAGCCATCCACCATGTCGGTCGACACTAAGCCTAAACTTAGTGCATCTTTAGGACCCCCTACTCAGATCCCACACATTGTCACAGTTTAGCATGAGCTTTGCAATATCTTACCTTCATAAGACCTCTTATATCAAATGTTGTATAACAAGTTTGTCTACATATGAATGGGCCAAAAGATGAACACATGATTACTCTTAAAAGAATTGTGCGCTACATTCAAGTCACCCTTGATCATGGTTTACATCTTCACCCATCTTCATTCTTCGGTCTTCTTTCCTACAATGACATTGACTAGGGTGGATGCCCAGATACTAGAAGTTCCACTCTGGATATTGTGTTTGTTGTTTTTTTAGACAACCTGATCTCATGGTCCTCTAAGTGTCGGCCAACCTTATCTCGATCCAATGTTGAAGCAGAATATAGAGGAATAGCTAACGTGGTCTTTGAGTTTATTTGGATTTGGAATCTCCTCTTTGAACTACAACATCCGGTTCATAAAGCCATACTAATTTTATTGTAACAATATGAGTGCAATCTATCTTCTCAGGCCAATCCTATTGAACATCAATACACCAAACACATTGAAATAAATAAACACTTCGTTCGTGAGAAAGTGACTCATGGACAGGTTTGTGTACTTCATGTTCCGTCACATTATCAAATTGTTGACATCTTCACTAAAGGATTTTTGCGCATATTCTTTGAAGATTTGAGAGACAGTCTCAACGTACGGACATCCCCCGCTTCAACTGCGGGGAATGTTAGATAACGTAATTAAATGGATAGCAAATATTCTCTTATAAATAATTATTAGAAATCAATCATTATCTTAAGATACATAATTATAGGGATTCACAATTATAGGAGCCATAATCATAGGTTACAATTTCTCTTGCATTGATGTATATATTGATACTATAATATCAATGAAACACACATGATTTCTACTAGTTTGTTTTAGAAAAGGTTTATTGGTCATGGGTATAATCCAAGTGAAACAAGAGAAGTAATCGATAATAGTAAAAGAATATCTGAAAGCATTCATAGGTATGGATGCAAGGACATCGATATCGCGATTGTGTAAATAGCAAAAGATCGTTCAGAACGAGATGAACTAAGGGAATATGGAAGCTTCTTTTGCTTGGCACGATGGCAAGCATCACAAACAAACAGAAATAGAGTCAACAGTGACATAAGAGTATTTTGAATGTAAAATATTTAATGTTTCATTAGATGGGTGGCCAAGACGAGAATGCCACAGGTATTAGATCTTTGGGAAGCATGGCAAGAACATGCATTACAATTGTTACAAAGCATGAGAAGAGTCATAAGAACACATCTTCTCAGTTGGTTTGAGCATCCTTGTATATCACATCCCAAAACACAATGAAGGGTGAGGGATAAAAGGTAAGGTACCTGTGAGTATGATTCTGCTAACAGGCGTGATCCGTCTGTGGTCATGATGGAAGAACAAGCAAAGAACGAAAAGAATGGAGCAAAACCGATCAAGAACCACAAGAGTTCCATCACAAGGCATGATAATAAAGCACGAAAAAAGCAGCAAAAAGAAAGAGAGATAGAGAGAAGGTGAAAAGACTTTCAGGATTGAAAGGAAAGTATGAGTACAAAGAGGGAAAGGGAGATGTGCTTATATACAACAAAGGAAGAACAGAAACAGAAAACGATAACAGCTGCAAGAGCTGAGCTGTTAATAAATAAGAAGGGGAAAAAAATAAAAATGTTTAATTTTTTCTGTATTAGCCTAGTTACTATAATTCACTTTTCTGTGTCTAAAATTCCATGTAGATCATCAGACACAAACAAACAACTGAAGTACCTAATTCCTCTTGCCAACCAAGCTATTGAACTTTCTTCATACCTCTTTGATTCCACACAAGATCACTCTTTCCACTACGGAAGAAAGGAAACATATCCTTAGAGGAAAAACACAGACAGTAAGAACACAACGTGTTATCATTCAATTATAAATGAAAATTTTCATGCCTGTATCTAGTTGAGATTCCTGAGATTTTGATGTTATCACTGTGCTTTCAACTTACCTTATATATTAAAAAAAGTATAAATATTTTAAAATATTAAAATCAATGGAACTTGTAGTAGAGAGCAGAAAAAAATTAATAGAGAATTCAAATTACTTTAATCTCAACTAGGTAGAGGAAAGTCGTGATACTGTACATTTCCAATAACCTCTCTTTGACAGGGTAATGTCTATTTTAAACTAATGCTAATATCTCCAGTTAAAAATTGGATTTATTTTTTATTTAAAATACATGCTAGCTTTCTAACT